TTTGTTTTATTCTTTCTTGCAGAAGATACTTAACTACATGTTGCATTCTCTCATCTGTTTCATCTTGTCAATTAATCAAGTCTTTGACAAGTAAAAATCAATGTTTGGATAAATATTTGTAATTTAACTTAATAAACCTACATGTAGGCATTTGAGAGACAACCCTTACTAGTAGTAAAGCAATTCCTTTCCTGGAGTCCGTAGCTTCCTAAAACATGAGGCTAAGTTGAAGAAAGCTTAAAACCATCTGGAAGCAACAATATCTGATGATGTAATTTTCCTGTCATTATGAACTGCTTTTTCCAAGGAAGGAAAATGTGCCTTGAGAATTCATCAGTGGAAATTCTGAAAACAGTGTTGAAATAAAGCTGACATATCTTTTGGTGAAACTAATATCTATCTTGTATTTAGTTGGCAGTGCTGCTCCTTTTCATACCAAAGAATCTGCCAACAGAAAGTCCTTAGCAAAGGGACAACCATCTATGGGTTGCCTTAATCCTTTGGATTCAACTGCCCCAAAAGTGAAAAGAGGAAAAGAGAGAGAGATTGCAAAACTGAAACGCCCTACAGCACTAAAAAAGGTAAGCCTGTCAACCCTGGAATTTTTTGATGCACACACCTATTTCAAAAATAAAACCTGATACTTTTTTACTTAGAACTAGTGATCATGCACACAGGGTAATGGAGTCATGAACTTCTGCCTCTAGTTCCTGTTACACTGATGTCCCATCCCTTGAATGTGGGCGTGTAATGTAACTTTTATATCTTTGTACCTAGTTGAAGGCAGTACAAATCTTGGATTGCAGGGATTTTCTTAGCTGTAAGACCTGTGGGAGGACATGCATAGTTTTTTCATGTTGTGGAATCCTAGCTTGTACTGCAATGTGGTATGCTAACTTCAATTCTTCCTACTCTAGAAAGAAGAGATAGGTATAGAAGCTGAAGTAAAACTGTGATTGTTAATTGAGTAAATTTAGAAATAATTGGTTATATGTATATTTGTGTACACATATCAAGTAGGAATGTACAAGGAAAATACAGTATATATGGAAATCGGAAGGTAAAATAAAAAAAATAGTCGTAAAAAAGAAAGTGTGAAAGCCTTTTTTAAAAAACAGTATGAAAGTCACCTGTACTCGTGCACCACATTGCCTGTCAGGATAACTATTATGGACAGTCAGACTCTGATTAAGCTGTCTTTGTACAGAAGTTGGCTTTGGTGAAATTGCTGAGTGTTTCTGTGTTCAGGTGGGGTTTGGGTTTTGTTTTGTTTGTTTTCCATCCTCAGCACTCTTTTTGGCTTATCCATGACTGACTTGTGAGTTAGAGAAATGTACAGCTACCTGTTCAGAAAACTTTCTAAATGCTTTATTGCCAATGCCTTCATGTTTTTGTTGTCATCTACCATAGTAATACCAGTGTTAGCAATGGGTACCTACCTTTGCGCTTTCCTTCCTTTCTTGGAAAGGATTCTTCCTGTTGTGGTGCTTCACAAAGATGACCGGTATTCTTGCATAAGGTAGTTTTTTTACAGGGGTAGAGATGAGGAATTTATGTATTGGAAGGAAGCTGTGAAAGTACTTAAACTGTTGAAAGCACTAGTTATGTAGAAAACTGAGAGTATCAGGTATACTACGGTACCTGGAGGGGGCCTGCAAGAAGGCTGGGGAGGGACTTTGTACAAGGGCCTGTAGTGATAGGACAAGGGGTGGAAGCTGGAAGAGCATAGGTTTAGACTAGATACAAGGAAGAAGTTCTTTACCCTGAGGGTGATGAGGCACTGGAACAGGTTACTCAGGGAGGCTGTGGATGCTCCATCCCTGGAAGTGTTCCAGGCCAGGCT